CGATTGCACTAATTATTTTAAGCGTTGCAGCGTGTAACATGGCTTCGTGCAACTTGTCTCGCAATATTTATAGCTTGGAGAGTTCCTATTGGCTCTCCCCAGTACACGCTTTATTTTAATTAAAATTTGGCGCCAAATAGCGCCTCTCCCTAGTCTCTTCGCATGCCTCTCCCCTATCGTTGGGAGTTGCATGAAAATCATTGCAGCGTGTAACACCTCTTGCAATGCATTGTCAAAATCTTTTTATAAACATTGCGAGACAAGTTGCATGAAAAATTGCTCCGTGTAACAGGGCCTTTGTCATTAAATACATGCATAGATTTTGCTGCATGCATTCGTGTGTGCAGTAATTTTGACAGTTGTGCTATTTTAAATTCCCAGGCACCTAAAATCTTTTGTCCTTAAAACAATGTCGATATCTTGGGAAATTCCGAGGTTGCGTTTTTTTTATACACCCTGTAGAGCATCTGATCCAACTTTAATCAACAAAATTTCCAGGGGTTAGCCTTTACTTTTTCTCGATTTTGCCCAATTTTGTCGTTCTTTAATTAAAACTGTCCAAAACCGATTGATTATTCGGTGATAGTATGAAGGCTCACACATTAAATTTTGGCCGATTCTGATTCGAGTTGTTTGAAAAGTAAGATGCCCAAAAACGGCTAAAAGATAAGCCTAATCCTTAACTTTTTGTTCACAAAATATAAAGGCTATCCCCTTTTATGTTCACCATTTTTGGTGACTTTCAAAACTCAGAAAGTGGCCAGAAATGTCCAAATTGTTTAGTTAATTGTGGAATTCTAATCCTATTTTTTTTTCCCAAAAGTACACTGTATTAATAGTTTTTATTTTCTTAATCTTGTAACTCACACTTTAGTTCAGTTGATAAAGTTTTTACTATTGATCGTTGATATTGTCACAAATATTTAACAAACGGGTAGAATCACGTGAAAACCACCTCTGCAGGCAAGGTCTGAAAAAACATTTAAAAATCGACCTGAAGCACATGAAGAGAACACGAACAAAAACAGAAATTATAGCAAAGCATACAAGAAGCAAAAGAATAGCTGGAAATAGTCCTAACATAACTATCTCTAGCCATTGAAACACTTTCAAAACTGTTACTAAAGAACCCTTGATATTTTGTTCCGAACCAACGAAGACAGACTTAAACAGGTTGACCAGGCCTAAAATGACCAAAAACAACAAAGAAAGAGACTCGAGATTGTTCGCCAACGAATTTTGAAATGGTTTAACCTGGAGATGACAGCAAAGCACAAAAACACAAGTAAGAGTCATGCAGAATAATCTGATAGATGGTTCAGTTACGACACAGAAGATTAAAACCAAAATAAACCGACGAGCAATCAAGACACTCTGCCAATATAAAGCCCCTCGCTTGCTTCCACCTTTCGGTTGTCCATAAGGAGCCAAGAGCATCTCTTTTAATGCGTTTAAATTTTGGTTTTCTTCCACATTCGCTACTGGAGATGGACAAACAAAGCGGAACAGCCATAGCATTAAGAATGGAAGGGGGAAGATAATGGCTAGAAGAAACTGTTGGATTGTTATTTTATCATGGTGAAGTTTAAACGAAATGCAAGCAAGCACAAATATGAAAGGAACCACAAAGATAGCAATAAAAATATATGCTGCATATTGCCACCATTGGTAGCATAAGACATTTCCATTGTAGAACCATCGAGCTTCGCCTGAAACAAAAACACAGCGAATGAGCGAAATACTGACAGTAGCCAAGGTTACGTACCCGAGGAATACAGTTTTAATACTGGCTTGGAGGTATGGCGAAATAGCAGGACGAAGAGCGCCTCTCATACGACTGAAGAAGAAATGCAAGGCATAGATAAAGAAAATAGCAACTAAAGTTCCAAAGACAGGAGCAATTTTAAAACCCAACTTTGTCTCTGGAGTGAGACCTGGAAAAGGACACAGAAAACCTTGTTTCTTAAAACTTGGTTGGAAATTGAAGAAGCCCAGAACAGGTGCAAGGAATTGGGTGTCAAAAAATTCTGTCAGAGAACTCGAGGAAAGAAGCAATTGTGCTATTTGATAGAAGTAGAAGATAATCTCCACAGAGCGGGAAAATTGTCTTTTGCCTTGTTTGAGTTGCTCTGTTGAAGACAACGGTATGTTTTCCTGTCCGGTCTCTTCGTCCACTGAGAGGGAGCGAATTATGTCATGATTGGCTTGAATGTTTGCCGTACGACTGCCTACAAACCTTTTAAACCAAAATATCTGTTTTAAAGAATACGTTACGAACGGAGGCTTGAACACAAGGAGGATGGCCATAGAAAAGACAAGTGCTAGAAACAGAAGCCAAAACCAATGATCGTGGCAGTCTTTGACAGGTGTACAGTACGTTGACCACAGCGCTTCTGTATAGCCTTGAGAACACTCTCCACACATAACTCCTGTACGTTTTCCTTGGCAATCATTGTATTTACTACTGTTAGCTGGCGGTGACGTGCAGTAACCAAACGGACAAATTGTAAAAGCTAGTTTAGGAGGAGTCGGACTAATTTGGTATCCCCAAAAGTTGGACTTTGACCTGACGGCAGGAACACAGTCTGCTCCACGCGGACATGGTGTGCATTCGAAACTATCGTCTACATTCAGTCCTCTTGCTGTTCCTCTTGCTGTTCCTCTTTGCAGAGAGTAGAAATTGTAGTCACATGCCTTACAGGACAAAGTAAGAGAGAAAAATGGCATATAACTGTCAGGGTAACGATACTTAGCCTTTTCAATAGAATGACCCACTGGGCAAGTACTCATCGAGGCGTTGTCAAATGATATCATACCTTTGGAAACCAGAATGGGTGGTTCGTCCGATTTTGTGTCGCAGTTAAATGTTGTGTTGTAAACAGATAGCGTACAAGAGTTGTATAACCTTAGGAACGAAGTGACCTTGAATTCCTTTGTATTATTATTATTAATTAAGACTTTTTGAATTGTTTGTTTAAACGCCGAATTGAATATAAACAGTTCGAGTGAGCGATGCCCGGCGCTAAGAATTTGACCGCCTTGTCCTGGAATACGTGCAAAATTATTCAAAAACGTACACTTCGTTAATCTCACTTCGCCGTCATTCAATTGCATAACACTTCCCATTTCCGCTATATTTTCTTGGAATAATACCCTTGTAATAAAAGCTTTAATCGCTGAAGTTTGGTCGTCGGAAAATATTCCCAGAGCGCCTGGACTACTTGTCATATACTTGTTTCGGACAAATGTAGAATTGAATATTCTTAGACTTGAAGTTCCACTGAACTCTACCACAAGTGCTGCACACAAATTGTTCACAAACGTCGTGTTCTTTAAGAAAATCATTGAATTAATTATATTAAGGACCATTATCGCTTTCCCGCAAGTACCAGTTACAATACTATTTGAATCGAAGATTGAATGTTTGCACGTTAGTGCAGCGCGTCCTTCTACATATACTGTTCCACGTAAGCCATCATTTTCTCGAAATATACATGTATTTAGAGTTACAAAATTTAACGTGGATTGACTAAGTGAAAGGCAAATGCAGCTACTATCCTTCGCCAAGTTCTCAATGAAATGAGTGTTTTTAAAACTGGCATTGACTATTGTACTTTGAGCCCAAAGAAATACAATACCGGTAGCATGTGGCTTAGTTGCGTGAAGTTTGTTCTGAACAAACACAACGTTAGTGACATAAAGATTTAATCTAGACTCTCTGCGACGGGCTTTTGCACAAATAATTCCTCCAAAAGCACTATTTTCTAGGAAATAATCATCGTGAAAGCTGATTGTAGCAGCATTATTCGTAAGGATAAACAGCGCGCCGCCAAGAAATGTAGCACTATTTTGTAGAAATGAACTATCACGGACAATTACCAATAAGTTTTCAGCTAATACGCATATTGCGCCACCGCTCAGCCTTGACGCGCTATAGGAAAACGAAGAATTGATTATGCGTAGATCAACAAAGAAATGTTTGCTACGATTCCACGATTGTAAATATGCGTTCTGTAGTGATCGAATAAAAACTGCGCCACCTGAATTGGAACTGGAAATATTCTGAATGGTCGAGTTTTGAATGGTTAGCACCAAATTTGGCACAACAATTGAAACGACACCGCCGGTACCATCGTTGTTTCCATTACGAAAAGAGGCATCCTTGATTGATAAGTAACATGAATCACTTTGAATTACGTTAACTATGCCCCCTCCACGAGTGACAGAGTAGAATCCGTCTACCTGAATGTTTGAGATGTTGATTTCCGCTGAGTTCCCGGTCACAGTTAGAAAAGTAGAAGATGTTTTATAAACAAGCCCGTGCTCCAATCTCATAAATACCCAAGCAGATACGAGACCAAATAAACCGTCATATTCTTCAATGCTTGGATTCGTATGGCTATTTTCTTCCATTCTGAATTGATTTAGTAAAAAGTTTGTGGTTCCTAATTGGTTTACAACTGCAATCATTCCATATTTCTTAAAAATGTTCTTCTTAAAACTGCAGTTCCTTAGTTGAATGTTGATCAAATTTTCTGTGGAATTTAACCAAAGAATAGACGGTGTGTTCGAAGAGAAATTGCCATTTTGATAGAAAAGCGTATTGGTTATGTTAACAAAAATCATGCTGCCCTTACTAGGCTTTATTGTCATGCACGCTGCATTTTGTTGAAAAACAACATTTTTCAGCGATAAATCCAGCCGAGGCAGATTTAACACTTCAATATCTAAGCTTACAAGTTTGGTTTCCGCAAATACAGTATCATTGACTGCCACAAAAGCATCGAAAATCCTTAGAGACGTATTCAGAAAAGTCAGACCGGAAAAGCTAATCTGTATACCGCCTTTGAATTTAGTTCCGTCCACCAACCACGAGTTGCCATGGAGACACGAGATATAAGCACGTGATCTTATACTTACGAATGATACGCTCTTAGTAAGACGAATCCCCGGATGTCCTGGGTCTAGGGTTTCGCAGTTATAAGGATTTTTGGATGTAGCTGACCCATCGAGGTAGATATATGAGCCAGCTGACACTTGTTGTATGCCGTAAGATATTGTACGACACGGAGAATTTAGTTTTCCACATGTTTTCCTGTCATTTCCATTGAGACGAGATACGTAAATTCCTTGTTCTGACGGTACAAAAGAAGCTATAGTAAAAATAAACATGACTAAAATTGAGTACAGTGGAATCTACTAGCAGACGCGCAGTACAATGGACTGCACCTCCATACAGGGTTACAGTCCCCATAAATAGAATTTGGGGGCTAAGCCCAAATCGACCAAGAGTAAGATCAGAGCACTATGCAGATTCTTCATCGCTGCATAAATAGCCGAATTGAATGAACAAAATTACCCACATTTTGGTCTGTGAATTTAAACTGGGAGTGGGGCTTCAGCACCCGTCACAGTTTTTGCAGGGGGGGGGGGGAGCCATATGTCTTGGTTAAAAAGCGAGTTTTCTCATCGCAAGTAGTTCGACTTTGCTAATTTACCGGCGATTTTAGGTCCCACCAAGTCATGCAAACGGATCAAAACCAATTATGAAGCAATTTTTTCAGCATTTTTGTTGTCAAAATTCTTCAATTCGGTGCCAGAAAGTGTAGGAAATGGCATTTTCAATCTTTGCCTGTCGTGTTTGCACTGAGCTGAAAACTACGGTACCCAAACGCCACTGTAACTAAAACCCGCTCCACCGCCACTGCCCATTTGAACAGACAGTAAGTTCAGGTTCTCATTGATTTCACTTAAAATCCTTCATATTCATGGGCGCCGGAAGCAACGTGAAGCGGCGGGGCCAGCTATTTAAAAAGGGCATTTGCTTCAGAGCCCAAATTTTTGTGGGTAGCAATGTTCGTTAAAATTTTGGGAACTACTTCATTTTGCACGGATCAGTTTAGATCTGTGCACCACTATCCTTAGACAATGTTTTACGCTATTTAAATAACGCACAATATGCATGGGAAGCTGATATAGTTGGACAGATTCCGGCATTGATTGGAATAATTATATTCGTTGACTAAAAAAACGACTCCATGTCAGCTTGTCAGTTATTTAGGACGGCTTTCTTTTTGACGTCTTCTCACATATTTGGAAAGCTTGGTCACATTTCTGAGAGGAATTTCAGAGGAACGTTAGCTTCCTTGTTTAGTTTTGCGTAGTGTGAATATAAATTGTGATTTCAGGTCCAGGATTAAAAAAATAGATACGTTTAGAGAGCTTTTACTCAAAATTCAAGATGGTGGATTTGAATTAAAAAAAACTAATATCGTTGAATAATTTCTATATTATGCGATTTGACTTTGCATTAGTCATTCGGAAATGAACTGCAGACAGATTCGCACATCGAAAAATAAAATCAAACTTTTCTGAGGCGAGAATTTTTTTATTTATTGGTTTACGGATTTGACTTTAAAAATAACAGGTCGGTAGGTCGGAAAAAAATTTTAAAAAAAACACACTGAGTATAAATGAGAACCGAATATAATATTAATCTTTATAAAAAATTTTAACGTTAATTTCAAAAAACGCAAAACACGTGGCTAATCTCCATATTGATTGTCACAACGACAACATAAGCCAGCAGTACTTAGAGTCAAAGTTTACTTGACGTGTACTTCATGTCAGAACCCCAATTAAAATAAACTAAAATTGTAAATTTTTGACATCCAATTTTATTTTTTTTATTTTTCACTATCTGAATATTTACGGTCGGCGGATCGGTAAACCAATGAATAAAAAAAGGCTCGCCTGACTGTTGGCTTACAAACCCAGGTAGCCAAGAAAAAACAGCGTTTGCATCAAATTGTGTGGAAACGGTTTATTGAAAGATTACAATATAGCTTTACCAGTATTTCATAACTAGCTTTGTAACAGTGGTTTGGGGAGCGCACCTTCGTTATAAAAATACTTACCTTACTGCACTATATTCTAGCTTTTGAGTATCCTGACGATAAGACTGCGCACATGAAATAATCACATTAGCTATTGGAGCTTTTGCCATTCCACTTTTGTGACTAAAGCCCGTTCTCCACTATAATTAGGCGAATTTGTTCGCGCGAACAGTAAAAAGATAGGAACTTATCCAACTTTTTCGCGGCGAATCTTTTCGCTGACCAATCACATTGCCAAAATTTGTTTTTCGCTTCGCGTCGCGCGAAAAAATTCGCCTAGTGGAGAACGGGCTTGCCTATTTGCTTCTGCCCTTTAGCTTTCGGCTGGAACCAATTGGAACTAATTAGTTTTAGACAAAAGAATAAAGTCGATTCGAACTTGTCAAGTTCTTGAACTTATTCATGACTTGTTTGCACGAATATTGTTTATTCAGACTTATGTTGCGATTAACAATTTGGCTTGCGGTTTTTGAATGAGCCGTGTGCCAGGGAATTTGTGTTTGAGACATTTTACTAGACTCTTTAATCTTTATCCTTGTTGAAGCTGATTATAGCGGCTCGATCTTCATTCAATAACCGAATAACTGCATGTTAAGAGACTTGCCTTCTCACTTTCGGCAGCTGTTATAACCTTGTGGTCAATTCGATTGCAGTACCTTTAGGTATATTCAATTCTGCTTTGAGAGCCCTATTTACTTCTTTCAGTGAATTATTTTCCTGAACATGTTGATCGCTTTTTGTCGGGGGTATTTCGAATTTCATATATACGCATTTATAAGCTCATTCACAACAATAGACGTCTCGGTTCGGTGCTTCTGATGTAGTTGTTCTATAAAATACTTCACTGAAAGAAGTAAATAGGCCATAGGGCTCTCAAAGCAGAATTGAATGAACTTAAAGGGAAATTATTAAGACAAACGACCCCAGGCTTTAAGCCTATAAGGTGTCCGTTATGTATTTATGGTTTCACTTTATTTGGCAGCCATGCATCTTTGATACTAACATATTAACAATATAATTACAATAGTTATATATACTAAGATTGTCTCTCTGTTTTCAGAACATTTCGATCTTCTTGAGATTTTATTAAAAGCCCTAACAATCGCTGATAGTTGCGCAGAGAGAAAGATATGGTTTTGGGATTGATTTATAAGCGAATGCGCAATACACCCTCCCTTGAGAAAAATTGTTGACTGCCGCTACGTATACATTTGGAATTCTACGCAATGATTTCATTGTATCAACAGCCATGATCAAGCCTTGCATATTTGTAGAAACAATATTCGTTGCAATAATGGCATTCGCTTGGTTAAATATGACCGTTTTGTTATTCCATGACCGACCATGTACCTCACTGACAAATTCTAAAAATTTTCTCACCTGATGTATGATATAAGATTAATATGCACAGCTTTGCCCACCAGTACGACATAATCGCCATTTATAAAATAATATGTTTCAAAACATTGGTAGTCCGGTAGTAATTGACAACATCAGTTTGTGCAAACTGATTTGAAGGAAGTTAATTATGTGGTTACAAACGCAAGGAGAACCGGAGATCGCATAAAATTATATGCCATATATGGTCTGCTTCTTTTTTCTTATAGAGACAGAAGATAGAAAACCTTTATTTAGGCACGCTAACCCTTCAATGCTGTGCTGAGTGGTAATATTACTACCTTAAAAAATAAGCAGAAACTCGACGTTTCGAGCGAAGGCGGGTTACTAACTCTTGACGAAGGGCCTTCGCTCGAAACGTCGAGTTTCTGCTTATTTTTTAAGGTAGTAATATTACCACTCAGCACAGCATTTTCACTTTGGTACTACCTACACTGGTACAGACAGTTTTAGTAACCCTTCAATGTGCTAACCACGTCTTCAAAAACTCATTAATAATTCAGGATAAAACACAAAGAAAAATCATAAGCGTGTCGTGGTTTTATATGTGATAAAAAATCACGTTAATTTATATAAACTTTAGCTTTGATTTTCTCGGTTTAGACAAAGTTTATTTTAAAAATTACTTCGCCAATGAACTCGTATAAGATGAGTCGTTTTTGAATCTATTTAAAGCACTTGTAGTCGTGTTTTATCACATATAAAACACTCCGCTACGCGTCGTGTTTTATATGTGATAAAAAACTCCTACGCGTGCTTTAAATAGTACAACAAATGCTGATTTCCACGTGCGGCTTGTATAACATAATCAAAATTTGGTAAAGGAGGGAACTATTTACAGGAAATATTTACAAATGACTTCTTTTTGTTGGATTAATTTGTTACAGTCAAACCGGATGCTCTTGCGAGCGACATTGCAATATTGTCCCACAATATTGCAATTTTGATACTGCGGTTGAGTGTTTAATGACGTCACGATCATGTGAACGTTGAAACAGAAAAACGCGGGTGTTGTCAAGTGGCAAATTACTTGTTTGCTATGAGAGAATGTCTGTAAACAAACGGTTTCTAAAATGTTGCACGCAAACGAATATGTATAGGTTATTCATGCCCGGAAAACCTTTATCCGAAGACTGTAAGGTTGTTAACAATAGGAAATATCATTAGCAATGGATGTGAAATTCTTGATGGGTCCGGGGTGGGCAATAAAACCTGAAATTTTTGATGGGTCCGGGGTGGGCAAAAAAAATCTGAAATTCTTGATGGTCCGGGGTGGGCAAAAAAATCTGAAATTCTTGATGGGTGGTTATTAAAAATTTGCGAGAATATCGACGACGAATAGCAAGATCTTCTTCATCTGAACTGAAGTGTGAGTTACAAGATTAAGAAAATAAAAACTATTAATCCAATATACTTTTGGAAAATTTCAACACGGTACTATTTCACTAAAATTATTTACAAAACAAAAAAGTGATCTTCCAATAGCCGTAGGCGTATGACTAGCTAATATTAGTAATAAACTACATCTACGGTGTTTTAGCTTTATTCTTCAGTTTATACAGTTAGCTGGGGATTGAGAGATTCGCAGGGCCGTAGGTTCAATTCCTACCAGAGGACTTTGTGCTGCATTTTTCGCAGTCGTTCCTGGTCGGGTCTTAAAATGTGTATATATTCTCACTTGGATTACAAACCCTAAGAACAGCATTCAAATATTAATACCACCAAGTGAAATGCAAAAAACCAGATCATAAAAATGATAAAATGGATTATTTTAACCAAACGAATGTCATTATTGCAACGAAACTGTTTCTACAAATATGCATGGCCTCACCATGGCTATTGATACGATAAAATCATTGCGTAGAATTCCCAATGTAGAGCGGTGAACTATGGTGTATATCACGTTCGCTTAATGACCTTAATCAATTTCAAAACCACATCTTACGCTCTGCGCATGAAACTATCAACGATTGTTAGGGATTTTAAGACCGTTCCTGAAATCAGCGAGGTTCACTCATAGGCATAGCATTCGGTCGAAGCGCTTATCCCGCTATACAAAAGCAGTAAAATAGTATATCACGCTTTTGCAACCTGAAAACCACATGATCCAATTCTTTATAATTTGAGGTTATTCCCATGTTTCTGTTCCAGATACAATTTAATTTTCTGGCGATGGTATCCTTTTTAGTCATTTTCAAGCTTTTAAAGCAGCTATCTTTGACGTTTGTATAGCTCGCCAAATATGACCGCGAAATCTACACAATGTGTTAATATACTTTATATAGGTAAACATCCTCTCAATGTTATAATATTTTAGGTAAATTTCTCTTTGATTTTGAGCCCCAATCACAAACAATCCTATACCCTTAATCCTAACATTTTTGTGCAGCAAACATGGGGATATATAACCATAGTTGAGAACCAGAGATAGATGCCAAAGTCATCTAACGCTCGCCTGTATGTCGTTACTCAGTCAACGGGTCTAAAGCATAAGAATTGCCCCCTTTAACGCGCAAACTATAGACTCTCCCCTTGACGAATAAAACCACTTGTCGTTAGACAGAGTAAAATGATAAAGTAGGGCAGGCATTGGGATAAAATTAGTTAAGTATAACCCATGCCATGGCTGTTTAAAGTAAGGGGTCATCAAACCTATTAATACTAACACAACTGATGAATAATATCGGCAGTGATCTATTGGGTGAGACATGCAGACTTTTAAGTCAAAATTTTTTTTAATAATCTGTCAAAATAAAAATAAAAATTTTAATAATCTGTCAAAATTCAAATTTGGAGTTCGTGGTACGTATAAAGAAACCAAGTTTCATTCACTTTTGAGATTTTTGAAAAGGTGGCCAAAATTCGACGAAACCTTAAGGGCTAGTCTTTAGTCTCTGTCACACTTTAAAGTGGCCAAATCAGTTAAGAAAACCTTATAAGGGTTAGTCTAGACTTGCCACAAGTGCACCTCGGATTTTTTCCCTAGCTTTTTTGAGTGAGTAAAGTCCACTGGGAAAAAATGTGAAATCCATACTGTGAAATTTGCAATTGCACCACTAAATTCATAGTATATTCATACTATTTCCATACTATATCCATAGTATGGAAATATACATGCATGGATAATGAAAATCGATTCTATTTCCAATAAAGGTCCATATCAATTTCCATTCTATAACCTTCTATGGATTTTCAAAATTTTTTCCCGTGGTCAAGATGAGCAGTTTACGTTATAGCCTTATCTTTTGGTCGTTCATGGCCACCTTACTTTTCAAAAACATCGAACATGGGCGATATTTTAAGATGTCAGCCTTTATTTTTATCCTATCACAGAATTATCAGCAATCGATTTCGCCAGTTTTAATAAAAGAATCGAACGACACACGTGGGCAAAATCGAGAAAAAGCAAAGGCTAACCCCATAACATTTTGTTGATTTTTTGACGAATTGTGAGGTTTTAGAAGTCAAGGTTAAAGTTAACAGTAAATTAAAGGTTAAAATTAAGTTAAAGTTGGATGGATCCTCTATAATTAATCTAAAGATCTGATTTCATCGGGAAGGCTGATTGCAATAGACAGTTCCCGAAATAAAAACTACTTATTTAGAATGATTACATTGTCCGCCTCGATTTAAAGCCATTGTATCGTGTGCCCTCAAGCAATTTCTGGGAGAGTCGATTGTCTAATAAGGAAGACAATCAATAAGGAAGTGGAAAACAAAAATGTAAAAGAAGCGGACCATATATGCCATATAATTTTATGCATATAATTTCATGTTGGCATATAAATTCATGATCTCCTTGCGTTCTTAACTTCCGCGTCTTAGCTTGGAATTAGTTTGTACAAATAAGTGTCAATTACTGACCATTACTGGCCTATCAATGTTTTAGAACATATTATTCTATAGATGTCGTTTATGTGGTGGGCAAAGCTGTGCATAATCTTATATACATCAGGTGAGAAATTTTTATAATTTGTTGAGGTACATGGAATAATAAAGTAATAACATGGATTAGTTTAACCGAACGAATGTCATTATTGCAACGAAATCGTTTCTACAAATATACAAGGCTTGACTATGGCTATTGTACAATGTCAATAAACTCAATGCGTAGAATTCCAAATGTAGAGCGGTCGACAATTTTTCGTAAATGAGAGTGTATAGCGCGTTCGCTTAAATCAATCTCAAAACCATATTTTTCTCTCTGCGCAACTACCAACGATTGTTAGGGCTTTTAATAAAATCTCAAGAAGACCGAAAGTTCTCTTATAACTATTGTAACTGTATTGTTACTATGTTAGTAAGATCGCTGCCAAATAAAGTGAAACCATATATACAAAACGGACATCTTAAAGCCTGGCTTCTATTTGGTCGTAACTGTTGTGAACATATTAGATAACTTTAGCAGTGGCTGTATACGAGTACGAGATTTGATGGCGTGCGAGGAAGTCGTAGTCGTTCTCGTTTCCGCTTTAGCAGTAATTCCAGTAAACAAACAATTATACGAGAAATAAAGTTACTAACTAAATCTTACGTAATCTAAAATCCTCTACAAAACTAGCCCCATCTATGAGGACCAATACACGAATTAAGTGCAAATACGTCATGAATAAGTGGGGTTAAAAACAGCTCAGATAAAATATTTAGGTTCACACTCCGCTAAAATGTTGATTTCAAAGCTTAATTATTTTTTAAATATTCAAGGGATACAGAGCCTTTCTATAGAATTCATAAACCATAAACCTAATTATACGCGTGACAGCCTAGCTCCCAGGTCTCTCGGTACGCCTTAGTTGACGTCACGGAAAATAAAAGGCGTAGGGAGTAGAGACTAGTCTGTACGCCTATGAGTTTGTAGAGGCACTGAGGCCAGATTGGTAGTAGATTCCACTGTACTCAATTTAACTCATGTTTATTTTTCCAAGCTTCTTCTGTACTGTCAGAACAAGGAATTTACGTATCTCGTCTCAATGGTAATGATAGGAAAACATGTGGAAAACTAAATTCTCCGTGTCGTACAATATCTTATGGCATACAAAAAGTGACAGCTGGATCATATATCTACCTGGATGGATCAGCTACATCAAGAAATCCTTACACGTGCGAAGCCTTTGACCAAGGACATCCGGGAATTTATCTTACTAAGAGCGTATCATTCGTAAGTATAAGATCGCGTGCTCATATTTCGTGTCGCCATGGCAACCCGTGGTTGGTGGACGGAACTAAATTCATTGACGGTGTACGAATTAGTTTTTCCGGTCTGATTTTTCTGAATACGCCTCTAAGGCTTTTCGATGCTTTTGTGGCAGTCAACGATACTGTATTTGCGGAAACAAAACTTGTAAGTTTAGATTTTCAAGTGTTAAATATGCCTCGGTTGGATTTATCACTGAAAAATGTTGTTTTCCAACAAAATGCAGCGTGCATGACAATAAAGCCTAGTAAGGGCAGCAAGATTTTTGTTAACATAACAAATACGCTTTTCTATGAAAATGGCAATATTTCTTTGGACACACCGTCTATTCTTTGGTTAAATTCCAAAGAAAATTTGATCAACATTCAACTAAGGAACTGCAGTTTCAAGAAGAACACTTTTAAGAAATATGGAATGATTGTAGTTGTAAACCAATCAGGAACAACAAAAATTTTACTAAATCAATTCAGAATGGAAGAAAATAGCCATACAAATCCAAGTATTAAAGAATATGATGGCTTATTTCGTCTCATGTCTGCTTGGGTATTTATAAGATTGGAGCACGGGCTTGTTTATAAAACATCTTCTACTTTTCTAACTGTGACCGGGAACTCAGCGGAAATCAACATCTCAAACATTCAGGTGGACGGATTCCACTCAGTCACTCGTGGAGGTGGCGTAGTAAACCTTTTGCAAATTGATTCAAGTTACTTATCAATCAAGGATTCCTCTTTTCGTAATGGAAACAACAATGGTACCGGCGGTGTCGTTTCAATTCGTGTGCCAAATTTGGTGCTAACCATTCAAAACTCGACCATACAGAATATTTCCAATTCTGTTTACGGTGGCGCAGTGTATATTGAATCGCAACAGAACAGACATATACAATCGTCGAATCGTGGCAAACATTTCTTTGTGGATCTACGCATAATCAATACTTCGTTTTCATATAGCGCATCGAGGAAGGACGGTGGCGCAGTATACGTAGTAGCTGAAAATTTATTGGCGACTGCCCGGGATAGTTCATTTCTACGAAATAGTGCTACACATTCTGGCGGCGCACTGCTCATCTCTACGAATAATGCTGCTAGAATCAGCTTTTACAATGACTATTTCCTAGAAAATAGTGCTGATGATGGAGGAATTATTCATGTCATAGCTCTTCTCGGAAACTCTATATTCAATCTTTGTATTACTAACGTTGCATTCATCCACAATAAACTACGCGCAACTCCGCCAGAAGCTTACGGCATTGTATTGCTTTGGGTTCGAAGTACAATAATCAGTGTCTATATAAAAAATACGCGTTTCATTGGGAACTTGGCGAAGCAAGGTAGCAGCATTTTCTTTCTCTTCAGCCAATCCACGTCACATTTTGTAACTTTAGATACCTGCATGTTTAGAGAAAATATTGGGAATGCAGGAGCAGTATTTGTAGGAGGACACGCTTCACTGACGTGCAAACATTCAATCTTCGATTCAAATAGTTTTGCGTCTTGCAAAGTCGCTACAATGTTCCTGGCTTTAAATAACTCAGTGATTTTCATCATGAACACGACGTTTGTGAACAATTTTTGTGGAGCACTTCAAATAAATCTGAGCGGGACATCCAGTGTAAGCATATACGATTCTGCATTTGTTCGCAATACGAATATACACGGTTCTGGAGGAGCTCTAGAAATCATTTTCGACGACCGAACTGCATTCAACCGAACTAAAATCGACAAGGATTCTGAGATTTTCAAAGTTTTTATTACAAGAGTATTGTTCCAAGAAAATACGGCGGCAGTTGGAAGTGCTTTGTCAGTGGTCGGCGGCGAAGTGCTTTTAACAAAATGTAGGTTCTTGAATAATTTTGCACTTTTTCAAGGTGGTCAAATTGTTAGTGGAGGACGTGGTTCAACTGATCTGGTAATAGGCCATTCAGTGTTTAAGCAAACAATTCAAAAAATCGTCATTAATAATACAAAGGAATTCATGGCCACTTCGTTCCTAAGGCTATTCAGTTCTGGTACGTCATATATATATAACACAACACTTAACTGGGACACAAATTCGAATGAACCACTGATTCTGGTCACCACAGCATATCGGGTATTTTTTGACAACGCATCGGTGAGTACTTGCCAAATGGGTCATGCTATTGAAAAGACAAATTTTTATTATAAAGGCAGTGATGATCGTGATACTACCTCTCTTACATTGTCCTGCAAGGCATGCGACTACAACTTCTACTCTTTGCAAAGAGGAACAGCAAGAGGACTGAACGTAGACGATAGTTTCGAATGCATACCATGCCCGCGCGGAGCAGACTGTGTTTCAGCCATCAGGGCAAAGTCCAACTTTTGGGGATACCAAACTAGTTCAAATCCTCCTGAACTAGCCTTCACAATTTGTCCGTTTGGTTACTGCAAGTCGCCGCCAGCTAACAGTAGTAAGTACAATGATTGCCAAGGAAATCGTACAGGAGTTATGTGTGGGGTGTGTTCTCAAGGCTATACAGAAGCGCTGTGGTCAACGTACTGTACACCAGTCAAGGACTGCCATGATCATTGGTTTTGGGTCCTGTTTCTAGCACTAGTCTTTACTATGGCTATTCTTCTTGTTTTCAAGCCTCCGTTTGTAACGTATTCTTTAAAACAGATATTTTGGTTTAAAAGGTTTGTAGGCAGTCGTACAGCAAATATTCAGGCCAATCATGACATAATTCGCTTCCTCTCAGTGGACGAAGAGACCGAACAGGAAAACATACCGTTGTCTTCAACACAGCAACTCAAACAAGAGAAAAGACAATTTTCTCGCTTTGTGGAGATTATTTTCTACTTCTATCAAATAGCACAATTGCTGCTTTCCTCGAGTTCTCTTACAGAATTTTTTCACACTCAATACCTTGCACCTGTTTTGGGCTTCTTCAATTTCCAACCAAGTTTTAAGAAACAAGGTTTTCTGTGTCCTTTTCCAGGTCTCACTCCAGAGACAAAGTTCGGTTTTAAAATTGCTCCTGTCTTCGGAACTTTAGTTGCTATTTTCCTTATCTACGCCTTGCATTTCTTCATCAGTCGTATGAGAGGTTCCATTCGTCCTGCTATTTCTCCATACCTCCAAGCTAGTATTAAAACTATATTTCTCGGCTATGTAACCTTGGCCACTGTCAGTATTTCGCTCATTCGCTGTGTTTTTGTTGCAGGCGAAGCTCGGTGGTTCTACAATGGAAATATCTTCTGCTACCAATGGTGGCAATATGCGTCATTCACTTTTAATGCTACCTTTGTGATTCCTTTGATATTTGTGCTTGCTTGGATTTCGTTCAAACTTCACCATGATAAAATAACAATCCAACAGTTCCTTCTAGCCATCATCTGCCCCCTTCCATTCTTACTACTATGGTTGTTCCGCCTTGTTTGTCCATCTCCAGTAGCGAATGTAGAAGAAAACCAAAATTTAAACGCTTTAAAAGAGATGCTCTTGGCTCCTTACAGACAGCCGAAAGGTGGAAGCAAGCGAGGGGCTTTATATTGGCAGAGTGTTTTGATTGCTCGTCGATTTATTTTGGTTTTAATCTTCTGTGTCGTAACAGAACCATCTATCAGATTATTCTGCATGACACTTGCTTGCGTTTTTGTGCTTTGCTGTCATCTCCAGGTTAAACCATTTCAAAATTCGTTAGCAAACAATCTCGAGTCTCTTTCTTTGTTGTTTTTGGTCATTTTAGGCTTGATCAACCAGTTTAAGTCTGTGTTCATTGGTTCCGAACAAAATATCAAGGGTTCTTTAGTAACAGTATTGAAAGTGTTTCAATGGCTAGAGATTGTTATATTAGGACTATTTCCAGCTATTCTTTTGCTTCTTGTATGCTTTGCTACAATTTCCGTTTTTCTTCGTGTTCTCTTCATGTGCTTCAGGTCGACTTTTAAATGTTTGTTCAGACCTTGTGCCCAGAAGTGGTTTTCACGTGATTCTTCCCGTTTGCTAAATGTTTGTGACAATAACGACAATCAATAGTAAAAACTTCATCAACTGAACTAAAGTATGAGTTACAAGATTAAGAAAATAAAAACTATTAATCCAATGTACTTTAATTTGGGAGAAAATGAGATTAGGACATTATTCAGTGTCAAAAGTGTATATTAAATATGTCGGAATATTTTCTGTGTGCAATTTATATAATTATGTGTCATAACACTTTAAAAAATTATCGTCATTTAATTGGCTGGTTATGATCATGTGGTATGAGTAGAAGTTCCATTCCACTGACCGTTATTAAATTCAACCTTGCTTGTTGGACTGTTTTGAGTATGTATATTTTATATGTGCAGTGTGACGCATAGATGGATTTTCTGGGGGGTAGGAGATTTAACTTGTCAAGGGGAGAGCGCTGGCGCTTAATGGGTTAACTGGCCTATCTGCCCATGTGTTTGGTTGACCCATTGAGTCGCATTGCACCAGTGGCGTAACGGAGGAATAGGGAGCTTAAGTAGGCATATTTAGTGTGGGGTCCCCTGTTGTACCCAGAGCTCTTCTTACGCGCGGTGCGACGAGGGGCTCTGGCCAAATCCATATTCCGAACTGGCATCTGATTGGCTAGTTCGAACACCGGACATTGTTTTCTTACCATGTTTTTATGGTGTCCGGTTATGGATTTGGCCAGACAGAGCCCCTCGTCGCACCGCGCGTAAGAAGGCCTCTGGGTACGAGAATGGACTGAGATATTATATTTATATTGAATATTTACAGAATGTTCTGGAAAATTCCGTGTCTATAACAATAACAGTCTGCAACACATGTAACAATTGATAAAAATAACTTTTGTTTTATTTGAGATGGAATAAAAACATCAGCTACCGTTATCGATGGAGGCTTTATTATTTAGCATTATTAATTTTGCATTTTTCCATTTATTCTTAGCCCTTATTTTTTTAACTAACCCTACCTCATGAGCGTTACGCCACTGCATATGCAGCCGATTCTGGAATTCCGCGATGCCGCGATTTCGCGGAATCGACCAAAAATCGAGGAATTCAGTCTGTTTAAATCGCGGAATTTAAACTTTGGTAAAGTATTTTTTTTAATTTTCCCTTAAATTCACAAAAAGATACACTTGTGTGATCTGATACAAGACGTTTTGGTAAAATTTAAAGCCTTACGAACGGAGATGCCCTTCAAAGTGGAAGGACTGTCATTGATATTCATCATTTCACTAACCACTAAGATTTATTAGCATTTTAATTTTTGAACTTCTAGTAATATTCCTGCAACTTCACTTCCGGTTCACACAATATGATGTCATTTACGATCTGTACCTTTGGTTCGTGAAAAAGTTCGATAATGTTTTCTGACAATTCAGTTTTCCATGACCACGGATAAATACAATTTGAAAACAATGGCAGTTGCAAATTAAAACGTTCGCAAAAACCAACGCACTGTGATTATTTCTACTACGGCTTTTCGAACTTGCTCTCACACGGTACTTCGATTAAGAGCCGCAGATTGAAAATTAGTACGGCGCTTATTCGAGGACGGCGCTCAAACGAGTAATTACAGTTTTCACGTCGATGACGTACGGTGAGGCTGCTGTTTTGTTTTATGTCGGGACTCGTTGTATATTAAATATGTCAGATTTCTTGTGAAACCGAGAACTTTTACTCGACTTTTTAATATATTTCTTATTATCTAATGGGTATTGATATTTTTGCCTAAAAACATCTGCATTTTGTCCGCAGAATTTCTCATTTTGGCCGCGGAATTGACCTCAAAAATTCCGCGGAATTTGCTATTTTTGCCCGTGGAATTCCAGAATGCCTGCATATGCATTGCACCCTGATATGCTCTACTTTATTATTTTACTCTGTCTAACGCCAGACGATTTTACTAATTGTCAAGGGGAGACTGCTGGCGCTTAATGGGTTAATACTGTAATACTATCAGTATAGTAGCAATAGAAAAAAATTGATCTCAAGAAAGTCAGTATAAAACACACAATCAGTAAAAAACACAGAAAAGTCATCAATTATAGCCTTTCTCACGAAGGCCAAAATCTGCCATTTTTGGGGTACTGTCTGCCGTCATGAAAGATTCTAGACAATTCAAACAAGGTGAAAAGCGACTTTTAAAAGTTGTACTGTAACTCTAAATTTACTATTATACAAACAACTACAATACTAAATTTGAAATGTGCTATCACCTACATAGGCCTAGAAAATATATTTCTCTTCCTCGCAGGAAAATCCAAAAATAAAAATTTCCTGCATGAGTCAAATATAAAACTTCCTGCATATGTACATTTCAGAGAACGTATGGTGTCACCGTTTGTGATAAACTTGCCCTCCCTCCTCTGAAAATTTGTGAGAGTGTGACGCCAACCAAGTGCTTTTTATTTGGCCTAATAATTGCAAATAAAAAGTATTGGTTGTTGGCAAAATCGACCAGCTATGATTATTTGCCAATGGGTATAATTGTTACGGCCCATTGAGCTGCAATACGCCCAGATGTGCCCTATACTTTATCTTTTTACTCTGTCTAAACGCCAAAGTAAAATATTGACTACATGGAGATATACTAACATCGGTCACTTTCATAATAGAAAGCTTTACTCCAGTCGATTCGAGAAACGCAAGTTGTATGCTCACATGGCTTCCATACTGAAGCGAAAAATCGTAGCTGTCGCCCATCTGAGTGCGACATTTTAGAAAAAAAACTCTTAGTCCTCACGACGACGATTTTAAAAAGCAAAGAAAGTGGATTATTTTTTGCCTTTTCTGCAAAAATAATCTGTAGAAATATTTTTATAGCCATATAGCGTTAACCGGCGCATTTTTTTTAAAGCGGAGGCGTAAATTATACCATAATTATACCATAATTTTGAGCTGCATATATATTTATCGTGACGTTTTGAAAATCAACGTTTTAGCGAAGTATACACAAAAAATTCTGAAATAAAAATGGTGGCAAATAATTTATTGTTAACCCATTAAAGCTGCACTACGCCCAGATGTGCCGTACTTTATATTTTTACTCTGTTTAACGCCAGACTTACGATTTCACTCGTCAAGGGGAGAGTCTTGCTACATGGGTTTTAATACACGGTCAATAGTGTCGGCGTCACAGTTCATGCCCACTAATTAATAATTACTTGTGTAAAAATCTGGGGTGTATTTATTGCATTTTGGAGGCCACCATGCATGTCATCGAATTTCATGTCATTATAGATGAATTTCAGCAGCAAAAAAACAAACGAAAACTAATTTACAATTCATTGATCTAATGACATATCCGGTGAATTTTAAAGTGAAAAGATGTGTGTTTCCAAATGAAGATATATTACATTTATTTTTAGTAGAATGACCCAAATGCTACATATATCAAAAATAATATATATAAAAAGTATATCACTTTCACTGATAGCCAATAGATTTCAAGCAAAAGTGAAAATGAGCTCGAGGAAGTGGAAAATGGTAGTGCAAAAGACGACCATATAAATTATGTGATATCCTTCCGCTTGCTTTTTAATTTCCTTTTAAAATTTGTTTGCACAATTATAAACTATCGTTACTGGGTTTTCAATGTATGAAGGCATTTTAAAGTGTATAGATTTACAAATGGCGTTTATATGGTGGGAAAAGCTGTGTATAATCTTATATACATCAGGTGAGAACATTTTATAAATGTAAAACGTTATTTTGTTGAGGTCTCAAGGTTTATGCACGCATATATGGGATTAGAGACTTCACGCATCTTGGACCCAAAAGCGGTGAAGACGACACTTCATGCAGTTTCGCGCGCACAATAGACCTTTCCTCTTTTAAGTGAGATTTTGATCTAGACTAGTCTGGACAAAAATTTCATCACAGCTTGAAAGAGCATCACAAAATTAGTAATATTCCGACGTTTCGTTGCGAAATGTTGTAAAATGCGGATAATATAGCCTTGCGAATTTTGCCGTTTTTCAGTCATTTTGTATTGCGCGGGGGAAATTGATAATCAGTTTGATCATCTGATTATCAATTTCCCGTTTGTAATACAAAATGACTGAAAAACGGCAAAATATGCAAGGCTATATTATCCGCATTTTACAACATTTCGCATGCTCTTTCAAGCTGTGATGAAATTTTTGTCCAGACTTGTCTAGATCAAAATCTCACTTAAAAGGGGAAAGGTCCATTCACGACTATATTTCTCTTCGAACTTGACCCCCATGCAATCAATCTTATTGTGCGCGAAACATGAGGATATAACCATGCATATTCCAAAATAAAAAATAGATAATGAAATCCTCCGGGAGTCTTAGACGTCGTCCTCGCTCGAGTTACAATCGAAAACACCATGTTGATACAACGGCTGCATTTCAAACCGCGAGAAGTGTACTCAGCATGATTAACTCAATCAGAAGAACTCTTCCCAACTTTTTAATATGAATTAGTCTAAGAACAAAGTTAACTTTGCTAAGAAGTAGGATTTTTCAACCCTCTATACGACCGAACTACCAAGAACACGCTACTGTTGCGTGCGGAAATTTTGTCTGTATCAGTGACAGTGGTCTAGATGTATGACAAAAGAGTCACAGATAGCTTAAACTTAAGTTCTACTAACCCCAAATAAGATTTTTGGTATGTGTAATATTTGGGTGATAAGAAATGTATATGTATATAGTATATTTTTATTGACGTTTTCACTTTCATAGTTTCATGCCGCGGATATGATCGATGTGAGACCGAAGGTTGCTGCCGTTGTTTGGAGCCACAGAATAGAGACCTCACAGAAGGCCGATTTTGGTTTCGTTTATGATTTTGACGTAACCCTTGCAACGCTGTCGCCATGTTCCTTGCCAGTGCGGTTATGAGAGGCATCTACCCACTGAAACTATTCCAAATGACAGACGCGGGGGAATGCCTCTCATAACCGCAGTCGCTAGGAAAATTTTGCAATGATGAATCATTGCGAATCATGCATGGTGTTACGTTTTTTTGGTTGCACGAGTCGGCTTTCTATATGGTCTCTATTCTGTGTCTATAGTTTATAGCTTGTTCCCAGTGAACTCTAGCCTGCTCGTAGCCCCCACCCGAAACAGAATTTCGGGCTGCGAGCAGGCTAAGTGAACTATAGTTAAACTGGAACGATAACTCCAGTGATCAAGTCCTATATGATTGGTTAAATCAAAATTTGAAGCCAAGGGCGGGAGCCGCGCGGGATAAATTAACTTTCCAAAGGACTAGGGAGAGTTTCGAGAAGCAAAAAATTCAGTCAAAAGTTTATTTTTATAAAAAGGCTTCAATTTTAAAGATTCAAACCTAGTTTTCCGGACAGTTCTAAGTATTTTACATCGACTAACAGAAAAACGTCCTGGGTAACAGTTTTCTATATTACACACGTTTGAACGTGCCGGAAAAACTTCGCATTTTGACTCCTGAGAAAAGAACTTTACTTTAAAACTGCTGTATGTTCCGGAACATGTTTTGTATTAAATTTCAAGTATTGTTGAAAGTTTTTGTCTTTTCTCCATTTTGAAATACAGCTGTTTAGTGCTCGAAAACAGATGTCTCTTAGGCAGCGTATTCTCCAATCCATACCTACATGGCGGCCTTCAATTTGGCTTCAAAGAAGGCGGCCAAGTTATCGTTCCAGTCCTTTTAGAGTTCACTGCTTGTTCCTTACACACAGATTTTTATAGGAACTGTTCGCTATATAGACCGTTGTTTCTGCTTGCACATTTTCAGTAATTTATAATCAGACTATGATGTCCGTTGTTTCACTTGTTTGGAGTTGTCCATTGTTCAGAGATTTCAATACTGAGGATTTTAAGTAAAATCGGGCGGCCAAAATTTATACTGTCTGTTGTATGGAGGTGTTCATTACCTTGTACTTTATCTAGATTTTATTTTTCCTAGCTTCTTTTGTACCGTCACAACAAGGAATTTACGTATCTCGTCTCAATGGTGATGATACGATAACATGTGGAAAACTAAATCCTCCGTGTCGTACAATATCTTATGGCATACAACAAGTGTCAGCTGGGTCATATATCTACCTGGATGGATCAGCTACATCAAGAGATCCTTATAACTGCGAAGCCCTAGACCCAGGATATCCAGGAATCCATCTTAGTAAGAGCGTATCATTCGTCGGCATAAGATTACGTGCTTATATCTCGTGTCTCCATGGCAACCCGTGGTTGGTGGACGGAACTAAATTCAAAGACGGTGTACGAATTAGTTTTTCTGGTCTGACTTTTCTGAACACGTCTCTACGCCTTTTCGATGCTTTTGTGGCAGTCAATGATACTATATTTAAGGAAACTAAACTTGTAAGCTTGGATATTGAAGTGTTAAATCTGCCTCGGTTGGATTTATCGCTGAAAAATGTTGTTTTCCAACAAAATGCAGGGTGCATGACAATAAAGAGTAGTAAGGGAAGCAAGATTTTTGTTAACATAACCAATACGCTTTTCTATCAAAATGGCAATTTCTCTTTGGACACACCGTCTATTCTTTGCTTAAATTCCACAGAAAATTGGATCAACATTCAACTAAGGAACTGCAGCTTCAAGAAGAACACTTTTAAGAAATATGGAATGATTGTAGTTATAAACAAATCAGGAAACACAAACTTTTTGCTAAATCAATTCAGAATGGAAGAAAATAGCCATACGAATCCAAGTATTGAAGAATATGACGGTTTATTTTATCTCCTATCTGCTTGGGTATTTATGAGATTGGAGTACGGGTTTGTTTATAAAACATCTTCTACTTTTATAACTGTGACCGGGTACTCAGCGCAAATCAACATCTCAAACACTCAGGTGGACGGATTCTACTCAGTAACTCGTGGAGGTGGCGTAGTTAATTTAGTTCAAAGTGATTCATGTTACTTATCAATCAAGGATTCCTTTTTTCGTAATGGAAATAACAATGGTACCGGCGCCGGTGTCTTTTCAATTTTTGTGCCAAATTCGGTGCTAACCATTCAAAACTCGATCATTCAGAATATTTCCGATTCAGGTGGCACAGTGTATATTCAATCACAACGGAACGCATATTTACAATCGTCGAATCATAGTAAAAAATTCTTTGTTCATCTACGCATAATCAATTCTTCGTTTTCATATACGGAGGGTCGTGTAGTTGGGGTGTTAGCAGAAAACTTATTGGCAATTGTCAGTGACAGTTCGTTTCTACGAAATTCTGCTCCATATTGTGGCACGCTGTGTATCTTCACGAGTGATGCTGCTATAATCAACCTTCACAATGTTTATTTCCTAGAAAATAGTGCTGACGATGGAGGAATAGTTGAAGCAGTAGCTAGCAAAGAGTCTTCTACATTCAGTCTTTTTATGACTAATGTTATGTTTCTCCAGAACAAGCTACGCGCATGTTCGTCAGATCTGCATTGCAGAATTGTAGTACTTCCGGTTCAAAGTACTAAAATCAATGTTGGTTTTAAAAATACGCGTTTCATCGGGAACATCTTGAAGCACGGTGGCAGCATTCTCTTAGTTTTTAGCGAATCCACGTTACATTTTGTAACTCTAGATATCTGCATATTTAGAGAAAATATTGGGAATTCTGGAACGGTATATATGGCAGGACGCGTTGCATTAACGTGCAAACATTCAATCTTCGATTCAAATAGTTGTGTACCTTGTCAAGAAGGGGTAATGCTCCTAAATGTAATCAATTCAACGATCTTTTTCAAGAACACGACGTTTGTGAACAATTTGTCTGCAGCACTTGTAGTGATTTTCCGTGGAACTTCAAATCTGAGCATATCTGATTCTGCGTTTGTCCGAAACAAGAATATAGACGGTTCTGCAGGAGCTCTGGGAATATTTTTCCGACAAGATCAAAGTATCTTCAACAAAGCCAGCAGTCACTCTGGGATTTTCAGAGCTTTTATTACAAGAGTATTATTCCAAGAAAATGTAGCGGTAACTGGAAGTGTTTTGTTTGTGACAAGCGGCGAAGTGACATTAACGAATTGTACCTTTTTGAATAATTTTGCACGTTTTCAAGGCGGTCAAATTATTAGCGCCGGGACTGGCTCAGTCGATCTGGCTGTAGTCCATTCGGTGTTTAAACAAACAATTCAAAAAATCGTAATTACTAATACACAGGAATTCATGGTCACTTCATTCCTAAGGTTATACAACTCTGGTACGCTATTTGTTTACAATACAACATTCAACTGGGACACAAAATCGGACGAACCACTCATTCTGGTCCTCAAAGCATATCGGGTATCATTTGACAATGCTTCGATGAGTAATTGCCCAGTGGGTCATGCTATTGAAAAGGTTAGTTATTCTTACCTCGTTAATAATAATCGTCGTGGTACCTCTCTTACATTGTCCTGCAACGCATGTGACTACAATTTCTACTCTCTGCAAAGAGGAACAGCAAGAGGACTGAATATAGATGATAATTTCGAATGCATACCATGCCCGCGCGGAGCAGACTGTGTTCCAGCCATCAGGGCAAAGTTCAACTTTTGGGGATACCAAACTAGTTCGAATCCTCCTAAACTAGCCTTCACAATTTGTCCGTCCGGTTACTGCAAGTCACCCCCAGCTAACAGTAGTAAATACAATGATTGCCAAGGAAAACGTACGGGAGTTATGTGTGGGGTGTGTACTCAAGGCTATACAGAAGCGCTGTGGTCAACGTATTGTACACCAGTCAAAGACTGCCACGATCATTGGTTTTGGGTTCTGTTTCTAGCGCTTGTCTTTTCTATGGCTATTCTCCTTGTTTTCAAGCCTCCGTTCGTAACGTATTCTTTAAAACAGATACTTTGGTTTAAAAGGTTTTCAGGCAGTCGTACAGCAAAAATTCAAGCCAATCATGACATAATTCGCTCCCTCACAGTGGACGAAGAGACCGAACAGGAAAACATACCGTTGTCTTCAACAGAGCAACTCAAACAAGACAAAAGACAATTTTCCCGCTTTGTGGAGATTATCTTCTACTTCTATCAAATAGCACAATTACTTCTTTCCTCGAGTTCTCTGACAGAATTTTTTGACACCCAATTCCTTGTACCTGTTCTGGGCTTCTTCAATTTCCAACCAAGTTTTAAAAAACAAGGTTTTCTGTGTCCTTTTCCAGGTCTCACTCCAGAGACAAAGCTGGCTTTTAAAATTGCTCCTGTCTTCGGAACTTTAGTTGCTATTTTCCTTATCTATGCCTTGCATTTCTTCATCAGTCGTATGAGAGGCTCCCTTCGTCCTGCTGTTTCTCCATACCTCCAAGCTAGTATTAAAACGATATTTCTTGGCTACGTAACTCTTGCTACTGTCAGTATTTCACTCATTCGCTGTGTTTTTGCTGCAGGCGAAGCTCGATGGTTCTACAATGGAAATGTCTTATGCTACCAATGGTGGCAATATGCGTCATTCACTTTTAATGCTATCTTTGGGATTCCTTTTATATTTGTGCTTGCTTGGATTTCGTTCAAACTTCACCATGATAAAATAACAATCCAACAGTTCCTTCTAGCCATTATCTGTCCCCTTCCATTCTTACTGCTATGGCTGTTCCGCCTTGTATGTCCATCTCCAGTGGTGAATGTAGAAGAAAACCAAAATTTAAACGCATTAAAAGAGATGCTCTTGGCTCCTTACAGACAGCCGAAAGGTACAAGCAAGCGAGGGGCTTTATATTGGCAGAGTGTTTTGATTGCTCGTCGATTTATTTTGGTTTTAATCTTCTGTGTCGTAACAGAGTCATCCATCAGATTATTCTGTATGACACTTGCTTGTGTTTTCGTATTTGGCTGTCATCTCAAGGTTAAACCATTTCAAAATTCGTTAGCAAATAATCTCGAGTCTCTTTCCTTGTTGTTTTTGGTCATTTTAGGCTTGGTCAACCAGTTTAAGTCTGTGTTTGTTGGTTCCGAACAAAATATCAAGGGTTCTTTAGTAACGGTTTTGAAAGTGTTTCAATGGCTAGAGATTGTTATATTAGGACTACTTCCAGCTAGTATTTTGCTTCTTGTATGCTTTGCTATAATTTCCGTTTTTGTTCGTGTTCTGTTCATGTGCTTCAGGTCGATTTTTAAATGTTTGTTCAGACCTTGTGCCCAGAGGTGGTTTTCACGTGATTCTACCCGTTTGTTAAATATTTGTGACAATAACGACGATCAATAGTAAAAACTTCATCAACTGAACTAAAGTGTGAGTTACAAGATTAAGAAAAAAAACTATTAATCCAATGTACTTTAATTTGGGAAAAAATAAAATTAGGATATTATTCAGTGTTAAAGTGTCTATTAAATATGTATTTTATGCAATTTATATAATTATGTGTCATAACACTTTAAAAAATCATCGTCATTTAATTGGCTGGTTAAGATCATGTGGTATTGAGTAGAAGTTCCATTCCACTGACCGTTGTTAAATTCAACTTTGCTTGTTGGACTGTTTTGAGTATGTATATTTGATATGTGCAGTGTGACACATAGATGGATTTTCTGGCGGTGCAGGGGGTGCGCACTCAAAAATATTTTACATCCCTCAGAAAGTTTTCCTACGTACTGCATGCACCTATTATTGCTTCCTATTTACACACACACAACCACCACCCCGAAATTTTAATGCTCATTGGATTAAATGACAGTAGTGTGGTTGAAATAAGGATTTTTGACTAAATACAGTAAGACTAAAACAAGAACTTTGAACTAAATAAGAATAGTGAGTTGCATTGCGCCCCGATGTGCCCTACTTCATTATTTTACTCTGTCTAACACTAGACGATTCTACTTGTCAAGGGGAGTGCGCTGGCAATTAATGAGTTAACTGACCTATCTGCCCATGTGCCATGTATGTGTCTAGTTAACCCATCGAGTTGCACTGACTTGCATTGCACCAGTGGCGTAAAGGAGGAAGAGGGGGCCCTTAGGCATATTTGGTGTGGGGGCTCAGATCAGATCTCCCTATATCACTGTGGTATGAAATATTCTCTTTGTACATGGATAACATAAAAAAGCAGTAATTGTTTAATTAATATGCCACCGACAAATTATATATGCAAAAGTAGAATGAAATACTTAGGGACGGACCATTAGAAAAGTAAACCGCAAGTCCACTGACAATATTAGCCTGCGGTCCTGGGAGAAAATTTGCTGATCGAATATGACCAGCGTGCTGAGCCCCCCCCTATATTTTGGCATGTTGCATAATCTTAACAACGTCAAAAACACACAAAAAAAATATCAGTAAACGAGAATGTTCTTTAGAATTGCATCTCATTTTCACTCATCATTTAACACAATAATGATTTTTGTAATCTTTATATCGCGTTGTTTATGCGCCATAGCAAATTGGCAGTTGAAGTACCGATCCTGTTTTGTCTGATTTAAACTCTATCCAGGGCCGTATCAAGCGGAGGGGCTGTGGGCTGCAGCCCCCCCCCCAATAATTTGCTAATAATCCTTTTTTCAAAATCATGTGTCCTCTAACGTTCGTCAGCAGGGTGAAGAGACATTTTGTCTGAGAGAGCAGGCAGCACTTGTTTCCACCGCGGGCAAGGCACAGGTTAGCTCACCACCCCCCATGCAAGTAGGCTGCCAAGGTTTAAGGTCAGTCCCCTTGGCGCATAGACATAAAGTTTACGTCATCACTATACGGTCAGAGGCTCAAAAATTGTAGGGTCTTTACCATATGTGCCAAGGACAAATCTGTGCCAACTCAATACATTTAAATAATATAACTTTAAAACACTGACAATTGATTAAGTTTAATTGCTGCTACATTATCCATCATGACAAACTGCAAAGAATGAAGATATTACCCATAATTTCCTGCAACTTATCCAATATATAGTTAATTAAATACGCCTTCGCCCATTTAGTATCACTAAATTGTAAATTTCGACATACTAAAACGCTGTACGTTTTCTGACCATCAGAATTCTGTCAAATCTTACCCAAAGTCCAGGAAATGGCATTTCAGACTCTCTAAATTTAAAAATTTCCTCGGGCCTTCGGCCCTCGCTTCGGCTTGTTTTTAATAAGAATAACGTCAAATGTTTGTCCCAGAATTACTAGAATAAACCCCAAAAAAATTTAGAATTCCCAAAATATCTTATTGTACCTCCCCTCCCCTCCCGCCAATTCAGGGCACTTTGGAGAGCCCCCCTTGTCAACATTCCAGGACTACACCACTAATAGGCCTATAAATTTCACTTAAAGGGGCCCTACAGTCATTTTTTAGTCGAAAGCCACCTTAAGTAGGGGACTCAATCCACAAAGATTCGTTTGGCTGTATCTTACATGCAGTATCCATGAGTACGAGTACTTTTGCACACCAGAAAACGCATGCATACTGTGGTGCACATGTCAAGTAGCGACAATAACAAAAAAATGTAAACAATACTTGCCTAAAAAATTACTGTAGGGCCTCTTTAAAAAAAAAAATTTCCAACCATCACGTGAGAAAAACAAAAATTTCTTCTATAGGTGTACAAAAAAAAATATTGCCTCTTAGAAAATCCCCCCCCCCC